ATTCAGAAAATTCAGACAATTAAAAAAAACAAAAAAATATGAAAATTCTGAAATTCAGAAAATTCAAAAATTTCAGAAAATCCAGAGAATTTAGGAAATTTAGATAATTCGAAAAAAATCGCAATATTCAGAAATATATATATACATAGATATATAAAATTTAGAAAATTTAGAAAGTTCCAAAAAAATAGAACATTCCGAAAATGCAGATAATTTTTAGAAAATTATGAAAATGTGAAAAATATGAAAATCAATGACCAAAATGTATATAAAAATATAAATTTAGAAAAATAGTAAAATATGAACATTTTTATAACATTTTCAATAAAGATAAAGTTTTAAAACTATAGAAAGTCAGAAAGTGAGTAATTTCCAGCTTGTGACAAAACAAGGAAAAGTGACCAAATATTATCTGAATGGAAAAAGGTCTTCGAAAAGACATTTCCTGTAAAGGATAATTCCTGGAAAGGAAAATTCCTGAAAAAGGATTCAATCTGAATTGAAAAATTCCTGATAAGGATAACTCCTGAAAAGGATTCATTCTGAAAAGAATAACTCCTGAAAAGGATAGTTCCTGAAAAGAGATGATGCCTGAAAAGGAAACTTCCTGTAAAAGATACATTTAACAGGACAAGGAAGATCTTGCATCGGAACCATGAAAATATCCAAACAAAAAAAGAAAACGCAACATTCTTATTTTTTTTAATTCAAAGATGTTTTACAAAACCCTATGACAGAAACATCTTTCGTCTTTTATCAATTTTAAACAGTAAAAAATAATGAAAAATTAACCTAAATTAAGTGAAAATAAGTGAAAATAAGTAAAAATGACTTCTATGATAAGTTAAGATAACTACTAATATTTTCATTAAGTGCCTGATGTGAAAATAAATAAATTTAGAAGTCTTAGTACCTATAGAAGTTGGTTTATGTTATCCCATTCACATCATGTCATCACCATAAACCCAACAGTGAAATAGTAAGCTTAGTCCGAATTCGGGTACCACCATACGTGGATGATGACGTACAGTAGTTTCAATGATTGATATTTACCCCAGGTCGGCCCCACAAAGGTGTCGGATGGTGTCGGTGTCACACTTCATCATTTATCCCCAAACATATCCCACTAACATCGCATTGAAACTCATTAAATCACATCAAACGGGGGGGAAAAAAAAACATGAATTCCAAACATGTGAATTTTGATGTTGGTGTAATTTCTAATCCCATTTTAAGCAACAAATTTTGTTTACATGGGATTTTCCTCCAAGTTTGGTCGCTTAAAACTCATCCAGGCGGCTGCTGCGCATACATCTGCGGAAGGCCGCAGGGTTCGTACCTGGTAAAAGACAAAGAGCCGGAACAACGATGGAACATTGCTGGGATTAAATGGAGTTTAATGGGATGGGATAATCATATATAATGGGGTTTAACCATCTTTAACTAAGATTTAACCATCTTTGGTATTTATAACATTACTCGGATTTCACGAACACTGGGAATTAGATGGGTTGTTGTTGGGATTTAACCATCAGCTAAAAAATGATAAGAATGGGGTTTAACTCTCTCTACCCAAGATCTAACTATTCTGGTATTTATACTATAGATGTTCGAATAGAAGCCAAACTTCCGACAAAATGGACGAATGAAAAAGCAGAGGTGGGAAGAGCCAAAGAAGAGAAGAGAAGAGAAGAAGAAAGAAGATCAGAGAAGAGAAAGAAAGAGTCAGAAGAAAGAAGATGCAGGTGCGCGAAAAGGTAGGAAAGTCGCGATTCACTGCGTTTTTCCAATGATTTGTGGGTCCGAAGGGTCGAAAAGTAGGCTCGCTAAAGCGGCGGGTGCGGAGCCATCTGGCCAAATGAGAGATGAAAAATTGCACGCCGTTGTGGCGCGAAGCACATTTGGAAGTGAACAAGTTAAAAACACCGCACGTCGGGAGCACTTTTGGCAGTTGTGATGTGGAAAAAGTGCACGCCGTTGTGGCGCGAAGCACATTTGGAAGTCAAAATGTACAAAGCACACCACGTTCAGAGCACTTTTGGAAGTTGCGATGTTCAAGAAGTGTACGCCGCTGTGGCGCGAAGCACATTTCGAAGTCGGAATGTACCAAAAAAGATGGCAGGCGTGGGACATGTGAAGCGGATCTGCAAAGATGGATTGAACGTGGCAGGCGCAGTACAAGAGACATGTTCATCAGAGATGTTAGGAGGTCAGGCCGCTGATTTTCTGAGACGGGTTGCATTTTGGAGCATCAGATCTTCAGGTTTGCGAAGATGATTTTGCGTGACAGGTGCAGCCTTTTGTATGACTTGGCATCACTTTTTCGTGGCAGGCGCAGAACGTTAGACAGATGGAGTGGAAAAATCGCAAAACGCGTTGGTACGAGGCCCTCTGCATTCAACTATCTATTCTGGAAGGAAGTCTCGCAGAATTCTTTTGTTTTTGACGTTATCAAGTTCGAAAATTGAGGGAAGTCTCGCAGAATTGCTGCGATTTTGACGTTATCAAGTTCAAAAAATGAGAAAGTCTCGCAGACTTGCTTCGTTTTCAAACTTGCATAAAGACAGATAGATAGATAGATGGATGGATAGCTAGATAGATAGCTAGACAGCTACAACTGCAACTACAACCACACTACCACTACAACTACAAATGCAAAAACACATATACAACGCTACAGTACACTAATTACACTACACTACACTAATTACACCACACTACACTAATTACAGTACACTACACTACATTAGACTACACTACACAAACTATATTACACTACACTACGCTAGACTTCAACTACAACTACAACTCCACTACACGACAGCCACACTACATTACACAACACTACGCTACACTCACTACACTACACTCATTACACTACACTATACAAAAACAACTCCAACGACAGCTACAGCTACAACTACTACGGCTACAACAACAACAACAACTACTACTACTACTACTACTACAACAACAACAACTACAACAACTACAACAACTACAACAACTACTACTACTACAACTACAACAACTACAACAACTACAACAACTACTACTACTACTACAACTACAACAACTACAACAACTACAACAACTACAACAACTACAACAACTACAACAACTACAGCAACTACAACAACTACAACTACAACTACAACTACAACGACTACTACGACTACTACTACTACTACACAACTACAACTTCAACTATACTTCCACTACAACTTCAAATTCAACTTCAACTACACTTCAGCTACACTACAACTACAACTACAGCTTCAACTGCACTACAACTACACTACAACTACAACTACATTACAACTACAACTACAACTACAGCTACCACTACACTAGACTAGACTTCAACTACAACTACAGCTACAGCTACAACTACACTTACATTGCACTTCGCTACACCACACACCACCACACTACATCCTGCAGTGAGGTCTGCAACCACTGCAAAAATCACAACCACCTTTCGGTCCATCAATAGATTCGCTCTGCCATCCATGCATCACAACAACTCACCTCTCCTATAGTTTCCTATCATTGAAACTTCCGCCACCGCCTTGTGCGGTACTGGTAGATGGATTTATAAATGGATTTAACCATCTTAGACTAATCAATGAGAATATGGGGATATAATAGAAGTTACCATCACTCTTTATAGAGGTTATGTTTATACCACTCTTTCATAGAGGATTTTTCATGGGGATAGAAGTTACCATCCGGTCATCAAACGTGGCTTGACAATCCCCATCTATGGGCCTATGGGTCATGTGGAACTACGCGAAGTGTTAAATAACCAGAGGGTAACACCATTCATACCTTTCACAACACAAAAAAGGATAGAAGTTGACAACATCCGCATCTAAACTGCAGTGTGAGTGTTTGGATAAGCTTGTTCTATCTTTCTAGGGAGATAACGACTATGACTATAAACCTATATTTCCATATAGATCCCATATACTCCAAATTGGAAACTGGCTCTTCTACTTGCATAATCTTCAGACATATGTGGCTGGTTCAATGAGTTGTGAACTGAGTTACTGTAAGTGGACTATGTTTTAATCATCGATTTATTCAAGTTGGTGACTGGCTACCATGGCTAGTTTAACCGCTTATAAATGGGATATTGTGGCATTTAATTAACACCACAATATATATATATACATGTAAATTATATAAGTATATATGTATTGTGAACCACCTACCCTCTGGGAGTCAATCACACATGGCTTGCTAGAAAATCGTCCAATTAGTTTGATGGGTCTCCCACCCAAAAAAATCCTCCATTTACATAAAGGATGCTCTTTTGCGCCATGTTTGATTACTGGAGGGTATCATGAAAATTCTTGGTTATCCATGGTCATCCCTATAAAAACCCGAAAAAAGTACCACATTCATCAACATATCATGGAGCACTGCGAGGGCATGAGCAAGATATCGCAGCCCGCCATCATGCGATGCTCGATGATCGGATCAAACCCGACCTGGGTCGAATCGGAATCGGCCACCGGCGGATCGTTGGAATTGGTGATTTACAACGGTGACAGATATCACCATAGATTGTAGGGGGAGAAATCACCAATCATATAGAATATCACGATTTTAATATATACATATATACTGGCTGGTTGTTGACCTACCCCTCTGAAAAATGATGGAGTGAAAGTCAGTTGTGATGATGACATTCCCAATATAAGGAAAGTCATAAAATTCATGTTCCAAACCACCAACCAGTGGTGATTTACAATGGTGACATACAATATTCGTAAAAATCGGTATCTTGGAGAATACCCTTCGGTCATGAAACATGCTTTGCTGGAAATCACCATTTATAGATGTGTTTTTCTCATTAAAACCTCCATGTGTAAGGGGGTTCCAATTCGCATGCTTGACTACCGCAGGGTATCAAACTTGGATATCATGGGTAAAAATTACAACTTGCTAACCTGAGTTGAAACCGGGCATGATTCCCTCCAATCTTATCAGGCATCATTCCAGTGACGTCACGACGTGAGGTCACTACAGTTCATCCAGATATAATTTGGATATGTCATCAATATGGAGAATAAAATTGGTACTTAGACCCTCCATTTGTATCCATCAAAAACTAGCATTTTTGCACCCATGATTTTAGTACTTGTAAATTTTCATGGGTACGAACGGAGGCTCTACAATGGCCCTTTACTAGCTACAATTCTTCATAAGCGGGGTTATCATGAACCATAAATGGAATTATAACTGACTTATACCCTGAGGTCAACTAACATAGATATGGAAAATCCACCATTTCTAGATGATTTTCCGTTTTCCCCCATGGCTATTCCACCAACGTTTAACATTTACAGTACCCCTAGCCTAGGCTCCCCGACGAACGCGCAAACACGTCCAGGATATTGCTCCTGGCAAATCATAGGAAAATATGGGAAACCCCATAGAAATAGAGGTTTATAGCTGGGAAATCATATGTAACTGGAAGTTTATTGATGGGAAAATCATCTATAAATGGAGGTTTAGAGCTGGGAAACTAATCGAACTGAATGGTGAATCATCCAGCCACATTTGACCACCGGAGGGTGCATGACTATGAAGTAGTATATTATCAGCTAAGTCAACCTTATTCTCAGCTGTTTATGCATTAAATATTTTGATAGTTGTTATCAGTCATGTTTGTCTGGACATGGTGACATGTTGGTAGTTTGTATTCCAACTAGCATGCTATTCCGTAGTTCCGTCTGTAGATTATAGTGAATATTTGCGTTTAATGCCATGTGCTTGTAGATTGCAATAATTAGAATATAATTAATATATAAATATATTCATATTTATTTACATATGTAAACATATATATATATATATATACAATCAAAAAATATTATATATACATATACTATAAACAATATATAATAAATATACATATACATGTATACATACAAATATTTACATATGCATATATATATATATATACATACATATATGTGTATATATTTTATTCATTTGTATATATAATATATATATATATATATACACAATATATATATATATATATATGCATGTATGTATGTACATATAATGCAGTTATTTTCTTTACAGTTACTCAAGAAATCAACGCTCCGGCTGCGTCGTCTCCTCGGCTTTCCTCAGCTCTCTTTCATACTTCAATTCGCCTTTGCCCATCATCCTTAGGACGAAACAAACCATCCCCGCAAAAGCAGCGCCGATATCTCTTGAGCATCAGACGAAGATTCCCCCATAATTTTAACATAGTATTTAACATACTATTTACTAAACATTCAGTTCAGTACTATACATGATTTTAACATAGTCAAGACAGTACTGATGAAGACCTAAATTGTTCATACAGTAGATCAAATGATATCCCAGCATTTCTCCATTGATGATATCCCAGCATTTCTATCTCTATTTCATGTGGGTAAAACAATGGAAAATAAACCACCCATGACTGGGAATGGTAAACATACCACCTATAAAAATGGTGATGACTGGGGCCGTTGGTTTCACTATATCTCTATGTCAAATATCCAGATACATATCAAGTAATCATATAATACTCATTAACCATATTACTCTCATTACTGTATAGTACTACCCCATTTCTACCTCCATCATATTACCATATAGTATTTTTTAATAGTAATCATGGAATATTTCTACAGTAATCTTATTGTAATCATACATTCATCACTAGCTCCATGTATATCATATCTTTCATGGTTTTTGAATGTGTTTACCGCTGAAACCGTTGAAACCTCTTCGACGACACCAGGATCCGGACGCCACTTGAACGAAGCCGTTCACCCCATTGCCCTGGGCTGATGTGAAGCCAGCGTAGCCTATCATGATATGTCTATATATATATATATACATATATATAGTATGTATTATATGCATATACTATATATAACTATAAAATATGATGTATACAATTACCTATATATCTAACACTATAAACATATATATATGTACATAGTGCTTATATAACTATACATAACATTATAAATTTTTAAAAAATATTATATATATGTGCTTCTAACATAATGTAACTTATAATCAACCCCACTGGCCGCCTCATTCCTCATGAGCCACGGTAGGCATTCCTGCGCTCCGCGGTGCACCGACTTGTAACTGGTATATTTTCAGGGCCTTAACTGGAGGGATTATGGATGTTTATATATGGTGATTATGGATATATTATGGATCTATATGGTTTATATCATTAATAATGATTAAGTAGGGATTAATATTATTATCATCATGGATGATTAGGGATAATCATTACTATATGATTATATATATATGTGTGTATGGTGATTTAGCAAACAAAGTTACCTCACAAGGAAATCCATGGTTTTCCCATCTCTTTACATGAACTAAAGCTTACAGTTATTGACTGGAACTATGTGGTATTCTTTTTTGCTGGGGGCTGTAAATCAACAACCATAACCAACCATAACGACGGGGCACCGAGCAGATGGCACATGGCCAGGGAATGCCACTTGGCTACACCCAAAATATTTCAATGTTGTCAGTTTTCTCGCCTTGTATCATCATGAAATATCGTACTATTACATTCTATTACATTCTATTACATACTATTATGGTCGGTGCAAGAATTATAGAACGGAAGTTGAGGAGTACGAAGGTACGCTTATTTACCGTACCCTGTTGTTCCATAATTCTGTTTTCCTCGGAAGGTACCAAAAAAACAACTTATCTTAACTTACTCCTATTTTTTTCGTCGTTCTATATTAATTTTGGTTTGTTCTATAATTGTGTTTTCCCCCTTTTTCCCACATTTAACAGTTTCGTTCTATAATTATGTTTTCCGTTCTATAATTAATTTTGCGTAAACCGTTCTATAATTCTGGTTTCTGTGTCACTTTTTCTGGGGTCCCAGAAAGATACATAAAATGATGCAAGTATATGTCAGTAACCTCCAAGGTGCCAGAAATTATATAACAGAAAAAACAATTATAGAACAGGATCCGAATCCGCGCGGAATCTGGATCCGGAGGGGTACGAAGGTACGGTATTTTACCGTGTTTTTGTACTCCTAATTTCATTCTAAAAAAAAAATGGCACCACCTGTAAATATATTTACCACCACCTCCCGAATTACAAAACCCATCATTTCTTCCCTTTTTTGTTGGCGTTACGCTATCCCCCCGCTTGACTTGTCACCGCTCCAGGATCAAATGGATGCCCTTCTGGTAGCAGAGCCGACCGCAGAAGCCAATGAGGCACAACTTAGGGTCCTGGCGACGCTGGTATTCACAACTGGTATAGTGGTAGAACCATAGGAAAACCCATAGGAAAACCCATAGGAAATTGGATTATTGTGGTATAATCATAGGAAAACCCATAGGAAAACGGAGATTTACCCATTATAATGGGATTATAAATATGTTACTCTCTGGGATAATGGATAATTATCTGGCATATAATTGAATGGCCCATTTAAACTGGGATTATAGTGGTATAATGGATATAAAATGGATGGTTTATAATGGGATATCCTATTAAAATTGATGGTTTATAATGGGACGTTTACATTTTGCGAACCGGAAAATCACCATCTTTAATGGGTAATCAATATTTTCATGGGCCATGTTCAATAGCTATGTTAAATTACCAGAGGGTAGTGCTGAATGGTAACGGTATGGTATAGTTATACCACTATCATTGGGGATGATGATGCAACAAATACCATGATCCCTACTTGGTTGATACTGTAGGTTTCCATAATGATTGGCTATGGTTAGCTCATCCCCAATAAGTAGCTACTCGAACTCCTCAGAGGAACCAATGAACCGATCAATCATGTTGAATGATTCACAAACTTCATCAAGAGTAAGCCAAAGTATTCAAGATGCGTACAAATGTTCAATCATAATACAATTTAAATCAGTTCAGAAACGATGTAAAAACATCGCACTTCTTTGCACCAGACTTTGGTCATAGAGTCATAGGTTTCATGACATATGGGGGGTTCTAAAAATGGTGGATCCCCAATGGGACAATTGGGGGTAACCCCATGACTTAGGACGCCTCCAGATGTTCATCCATGTTCATGATTCATGATATTCCCAAGATATTCGCACATATATTATATTGTATCCTATTAAATTAAATTGAATTAGATTGTATTATATTATATTAATTATTATATATTATATTATATTATATTATATTATATTTATATTATATTATATTATATTATACTATATTATATTATATTAAATTAAATTTTAATATATTATATTGTATTAATTATTATATATTAATTATTATATACTAATATTATATATTATATTATATTGTATTTTATTCTATTATATTATATTATATTGTATTATATTATATTATATTAATAGGGTATCCAAAAAATCCGTTGGTTTATCGGTATTCCCTTTTCGGAACCCCTCAATATAATGATATCTGTAAAGCCTCTAGATGAAGGTTCCCTTACTTACGCAATTTCATTGAGTCGAAGACAACACTACTCCCATTGCCGAATTGATTGCCGGTTTTCTCAGCAGTTCGCTCTAAAATCGTCAACCGCATGCTTTCCAAACCATGGTTTAGCTATAAAAAGCAAATTCACAAACCTCCATTTACTTTTTCAGCATAAATAAGCATTCTAAGAAGCATAACTAAGCTACCCTCTGGTAATGACTAACAGTTTGCGAACTTGAAAATGACCCAGTCGAAATAGTGGATTTTCCCAGCTAGAAAATGGTGGATCTTTCCAAATCATTCAGTCAGCTCCGGGCATGTTGTCACCTCCGTGAGTCCCAACTGACGCTGGAGTTCAGCCTGACCGTTGACCAAACAAAAGGGGCCCCTGGGGATGGGGTCCCGCCATGGCCCAGTCGTAACAGTTATGGTTACTAAATGGATTTCAATGGGGTTGGAGCTCATGATGTATAATTGTTTTTTTCTGGTGGAGCTATAATTTCTATACTATATGAAAAAGCTGATTCTAGCTGTTTTTTTTGTATAGGAGCTATATACTTATCTATAATTCCATTGCTGGCCATAACTGTGGGAGCCATGTGAAACCTGAAACCTTTCCTCATAGAGAAAAGCATCAATTTGGATGGATGGATAACAATCTGCAAGTAGGTAAATCAACTATGAATGGGCCATGTTCCATAGTCTAATTGCCGGAAGGTCACAACCCAAAAATTTAACAGCAAAAAAAATGGAAAACCCATCATGTAGATCATTTTCTGAAGAGGTTTCGCCACTGGTATTTGATGTCTATGTTGTGTTGGGCATTTTACCACAAAAAATGCGGACTTAAGAATTCAACACTGGGAGTTTTATGGTTTATATCATGCATAATTACAGTAATGGGATCCATCCCACAGATGGACTCTTCGGAAATGGCTGGCAGATCCACCATTGTCGAGGATTCTCCAGCCACTTTTGATGACAAGGCTACTATCAATCCACGGTTGCAATCCCACTGCAGTGGCTGGATCAACATGGATCAAGGGTCGTTGGATCGGCTGGATCTAGACGTTTGTTCTCAGAGTCTTGCAGCTTGGCTTCCCAAGTCTTATCTGGATCATTAGCATAGCAATGGAAAAGATGAATCTGTTAATACAGTTTTGCAGGTTGATTCGCTAGCCTCTGGTTATTTCGCCCAGCTATGAAAATGATTGAACATGGTCCATTTATAGATGATTTATGATGATTTAAATACCTATTTAAAACGGTGGCTTTTCCCAGTTCGCTACGTGTTTCACTTTGTGAGGTGCTTGTGTTACATTTTGATTTGGATCCACATCTAGCTTCTGATCCGATATGTTTTGATTAATGTATAGTCAGGATTAATAAACCTCCCGAATTAGCGAATCCCCGGTTCCCCGAAAATTTTGGGGCAATACTAAAGTCCTCTACGTGCTGATTTCCCCCCCTAATAATAGATATGTACCCCCTAATTAGCGAATCCCCTCTGGGATCCCCATTTTTTTGGTGGGACTAATTTGCTATTACTCCCTTTTACTTTTTAATTCGGGTTACAATTTCCAGGGTTGCTTCCTATTTTGGTTTAACATAGGTATTCTTATCTTTTCTCATTGGAATCTCATGGTTTACCATTCATTTTCGAATCTTCCCTCATAGGAATTTGATGGTTTCTACGTGGTTTCCTCATCTTCCCTCAGATGGTTTACCAAAGGTTTTCTGATCTTTTCTCATTGGAATTTGATGGTTTACCATAGTTTTTCTCATCTTTTCTCATAGGAATCTCATGGTTTACCATTCATTTTCGAATCTTCCCTCATAGGAATTTGATGGTTTCTACGTGGTTTCCTCAACTTCCCTCAAAGGAATTTGATGGTTAACCATAGGTTTTCCAATCTTTTCTCATAAGAATTTGATGGTTTACCATAGGTTTTCTGAACTTTTCTCATTGGAATCTGATGGTTTACCATTCATTTTCGAATCTTTCCTCATAGGAATTTGATGGTTCTACGTGGTTTCCTCATCTTCCCTCATAGGAATTTGATGGTTTACCATACGTTTTCTGAACTTTTCTCATAGGAATCTCATGGTTTACCATTCATTTTCGAATCTTTCCTCATAGGAATTTGATGGTTTCTACGTAGTTTCCTCATCTTCCCTCAAAGGAATTTGATGGTTAACCATAGGTTTTCCTATCTTTTCTCATAAGAATTTGATGGTTTACCATAGGTTTTCTGAACTTTTCTCATAGGAATCTCATGGTTTACCAT